GTTTTGTGCTCCAGGGTCACATAAATATGTATAATTTTATTTAAATTAAAATGTTATTGTTATAAAGCAATTCTCTTAACAATAAGGTATAGTAATGGTGATAATGATACTAATAAAAGTCATACAGTATGCTGACATTTAATATATATAAAATAATGACATCCTCATGTATATCAGGAACCTGGCCGAACACGTTTGGCAGGTCCTAGACAAGCTGAGGGAATACCATCTGTATCTCAAGGTGGAAAAATGCATGTTCCACCAACGCTCCACCCAGTTCCTTGGCTATAACATCAGTTCTGAAGACATCAAGATGGATGAGGGGAAAGATGAAGCTGGCCAGAACCCCAGCATTTCCTTGGTTTCTCCAATTTCTACTGCCATCAAGAATTACAGTTCAGTCACCGCTCCACTCATCTCTCTTCTGAAAGGCAGGCCCAAGTCTCTGTACAGGATTCCAGAAATCTCCCAAGCATCCCAAGGCCTTCGAAGGCTTTGAAGCCTGAACCTCTAGAGCAGGAGCGGTACTCTCACAGCAGCAGGGGAATCCATCCCGACTCCATCCATGTACCTTCTTTTCCAAGAAGCTGTCTCAGACGGAGTAAAACAACAATATCGGCAATTGTGAACTCCTAGCCATCAAACTTGCTTGGAACAATGGAGACAGTGGTTGGAGGGAGTCTGCCGTCCTTTCAGCATCCTCACAGACCACCACAACCTTGAGTACCTCAACAAGCTAGAAAGACTCCCGATGTAGCTTATAGAATGCAGGGTCCCACTTTATATTAAGTGGCCCTAATACCTGTGTACTTACATAGTAACTAGATGTGTACATAGTATGAAACTACAGCGTAAGTACACATTGGTACATAGTATCTACAGCTGTAATGTTTGTGCAACTACACATATGTAACAACCCACTGTGTAAAAGGACATTGGTAACAACACATTTTGGTAATGAAAGTACAAATGTGTAACAGAACTAACAGCACTTTTTGGTCAAGAAAGTGTTACACTTTATATTAAGTAAACAATTCCTATGGAACACTTTATATTAAGGGGACAGTTCCTGAGGAGTTGTAAGACCATGTAAGTATACTGGTATTACAGTAGTGCACCAACTCCACCAACTTTAGATCCAACTCCTCCCACTTTACATATCCCTAAACATACCCATCTCCACCACCTGGATCCCATTTCCACCCCTAAACCTACCCATCTCCACGCCCTGTTGTTACAAAATGTAGTTATATATGTCCTGTTACACATTTGTACTTACACAAACCATTCAGAGGGTTGTTACATGTGTGTAGTTACAGAAATATTACAGCTCTAGATACTATGTACCAATGTGTACTTACACTGTGGTTACATACTACGTACACATTTAGTTACTATGTAAGTACACGGGTATTAGGGCCACTTAATATAAAGTGAGACTGAATGCAGTTATGTGCCCCTAAAATGTAAGAGATTGGGGCAAAAATGCCCCTGTATGTGTTTTTGTCTCATATTTATATCATATGATAAGAGATATCACACGAGCAGTGAGAGCAATATCACACTCGTGCTGTTTTTTTTTTCCATAGTGCAAATGTGATTTTATACAACAGTTCAGTAAATAAGAAGTTAATATTCTGTTATATTTGAGACACAATATTGTCTGTTTTTGCTCAGTTTTGCAAAGGTAAATATTTCCTATAAAGCCACAGCAGGACTGTTTTGTGTCTCCAATCAACAGCGGTGATTTGTTTCTAAATGAATCCAGGTTTTGAACAAATCTGGTGAACCAATGATTCAATGGGCCATTCATTAAGAGAGCCATTTTCTTAATTCCTGAATGAATCAGCCATTTGACAGATTGAAACATCATTTACTCATCCTCATGACCAAAACAGCCAAACTGTTTTGGTTACCAATGACTTTAATTGTATGAACAAAAAAATACTGAGATGTTTCTCAAATTATCTTCTGTTATGTTCCATAGTTTATGTTAGGCCATTGTAGCCTAAATGTTTATGTGTAATAAATTTTATGTTGAATCAAATAAAATATTTCTTTCTAAAGCTACGTTTTGTAGTGTCTACTCAATTGTTTTCTCATTTAACACAGTAATGGCTTTAAATGATCTTTTGGGGGTAATTTCACAGCCAAATTTAACTATATATATATATATATATATATAACAAATAAAAATGTTGTCAGTATCATAGTTATATGCTGTTATTGTTGACTATTCTTTGCTTCCCGCAGTTCAGTTCTTATATATATTAGTTTGCTTGTTTGTTTGTTTTTTGAAGAGGCCTCTATGAACTAATGCTAGAAATAATGGCTAAGAACTGCGGGAAGCAAAGAATAGTCAACAATAACAGCATATAACTATGATACTGACATCATTTTTATTTGTTATTTGAATTTTAAGTTATTTATCCCCTTTGACAGAAAATCAAACTGGAATAATGTCCTTGTACATAATGAATAAAAAGCACAAAGTATGTTGAAGAGGACGTCTGCCTTTATATCCACTTTAGTCTGAGAATACTTTTAGTGAAAAATAACCTTCATTATTTGTGTAGAGAAAACAAGACAAACCTCAAATAAGAGAAGACAAACTGGAAATCATTTACAATATTTTTCCAAATCCTTTTCAGTTTGAAATTGTATTGCTGCTACTCTCCATCAGTCCAGTTCAGAAGATAATGTGGCTTGCTTAGGTATGGTTAGATCTTAACCCTAGTATGTATAATAAATAAATAAATAATAAATAAATGATTATTTAAAATAAATGTATTTCATACTTCAAATCCATTAACAAATTTATTGACATATCACTTAAGACTTACTGATATAAAATTATAATTAAACTTTATTTGGAGTATTTCTTTATTGCACAATGCACAGCTCTTAATATTATGCACAAAATGTGTTTTAATATCATTATTAATAAGGATTATATGATCTCTGTATTATATTATATTACTATATCTGTATTAGTCTTTAAATGAAAGACATTTAAAGTGTACCTGAAGTATACTTGCAACAGTTCTACTTTTTCACAATCAGATTTACTTAAGTATATCTTTAGTTGGACCTCAGCACTACTTCTGCACAATTAAAGTGCATTAAGCACAAAAGTAATTGTTCCAATTTAGCAGACTTTAAGTATAACAGATTAGTACACCAAAAGTACAATTGCAGGGTATTTTTATTAAGCACAACAATATGTAAATGTATTTGTAGTATACTTAGCACAAAATAAATATATTTCAAATACATTGTAGTATTTTTTTTTTCCACTAGGGAATGTTTAGAGAAGAAATAGAGAGAAAGCTTGAGAATAGATCAGTGTGTTTTCCCTAGTTTTTCATGAATTTAGACCTCAAAACAGAACTGTGCTTTAACTGATTAAATGTTTAATCAGTCAAACAATATTAGACTAAATGTAGTCTAGATAACATCCCTACTGATAGCATAACTAATAAGTCTTGGAAGGTCAGTTAAGGAGCACAAACCTTGCTTGACAGTGGTTTTGAATATAAAATAGGCCATAACATTATCTCTGTAAACCTGTGTAAAGAAATCACTCTCTACTGTGTGTGTGCATATGGCTCCTTATCTAATTTATTGTCAAGAAGGCAATACGCAACCCAAACAACCTGAACGGGAATTCTAGGGAGAACTTGAAACCTCCCTGTACCTGAAGGACATTTTGTCAACAGTAACTTGCAAGAGAAGTGATTATCAGCCTTTTGTGTTTGCAGAGCATGTGGGTAGTTACAGACATAGTGGGGCATTCTGGAAGGGACAGGCCTTTTACAGAAGATAAGACTGGGGCCACCATGTAAGAATCCGTCAGCTATAAGCAGGATATTATCACTCGCTGCCTTATTGTTTAACGACATTTATCAATGCTTCTACATGTGTCCTGTTTTAGTTTTTCTTAGTGCTTCAGATAGGAGGACAAACATTGGCCAAGTAGTGATATTAGTTTTATCTTATGGGGATTTTTTCAATACTCTTGGTATTAAAAAGATAATAAGGAGGTGATTTTATTGCTTTTAAGATCTGAAATATTAGATAGTGTAAACAAATAGTGTGAAAATGCAGATATCATTTTCTTGCATTAGATGTTCATAAACAGTTAGGACATCATGAGGTTTACACTATTAGTTCTTAGACATATAGTTTATGGCTTAGAATGCATGTGGGTCAAAAATTATACAATTGGATGCATATTCTTTATAATACTATTGTTTGTGTATAATAATAATAATTATTATTATAACTTTATGTAAACTAGAGACATTAATAATTAATACTAATACTAATAATACATAATACTAATTCTATTAATACTAAATGTGAAAAATGAGTTTACAAGACAGTCACTGAGAATTTTTTGGAATGTCAGTCATGTGAAACATATAGGAAATTGCTATTTTTTAATGTATTTTATTTTTTTATTCATTTATTTATTTAGCCAAAAATATGTTTACTCTGCCCCCTAGTGTAGAAAAAAGGCTCAATATACATATGTCATTTGAAACCATCGAATACTCGTCCATTTAAGCCATTTGCACAAAAGTAAAACTATCTTTTGAATTTGAAATGTTTATTTATTTATTTTTACAGACTTTATACGATATATAAATGACAGAATTATAGATGTGGGGTTCGTTTTGCAACACTACTTCGGCTTGACAGTTTGTTTGCACTACAGTCTGTCGCAGGCTGAGACTTCCACAGTTGAACCCGCAGTCCTCTATATAGGGCTTCATAATGAATGAGTAGTTTGACTACAGCAGCAGCCCACGGTCACTGAGGTAATCATTTCCCTTGCCTCAAAATTCCATTCTCACCAGGCGAGTTTTTCATTAAAGAGTCCAACACCACAATTGTGTCCGATTGGTCTACGCAGCGGGCGCAGTCTATGAAACGCGTCCTGTGATTGGCCAATCCTCGAGGTCGGCAACAGTATCCGCGGTTTGATTGGACAGCTGCTTCGTCATCTTGCTACAATGTAGCTAGGTTGGCTCTTCCTACTCGCTTTACGTAGATATTAGTTTAATACATAGATAATTTAGCGATATATTAATTTATTAATATTTGTACAGTTAATACGTTTAATTAGTGTGAACAAAGCATGCGAAGGGTGACGCTTTTTGTCAACGGAACCTCCAAAAATGGCAAGGTGAGTGAACACACGCAGTGCACGTTTAGCCTGCCCAACTCCAGATTTTATACTGTTAAAATAGTATTATAAAATAACATTTATTAAATTATTCAGCAATAGTAAAAAAATATTAATTGCTTTATTCACTCCACACGTTATCCACGCAGACAGATTGTAATAATTATTATAATAAAAATGAGTGTAATTCTTGCAAGCATTGCAATTTTAATGGCTTCATCATGCGTTTGTTTCTTTTGCAGGTTGTAGCTGTTTATGGGACTCTGTCTGATCTTTTGACAGTTGCCAGCAATAAATTGGGAATCAGGGCTTGTAACCTATATAATGGGAAAGGTGGTCTCATAGATGACATTACCCTCATCAGGTGCGTTGCATTGGCATTTTTCAACTATTAATTGGTCATTTAGGAAAGACAATGTTGGGAACGTTATTGAAAAATACATTGCTTTTCTCAGTTTGACCTGCTTTGAGTTGAATGTTTACAGTGAGCCTTGTACTATTCTTGAGTGGGATAAGCAAATGAGAGGTAATATGGCGGATGAACTGACTGGTTATTGTGTATATATTCCACAGAGATGATGATGTGCTGTACGTGTCAGAAGGAGACGCTTTCATCGGTGAGTCAACATCATTTTGTTTTCTGCTTTATGCCACTTGAAACGCCAGGGTCATGAGATTTCCAGGGAACACAAACAAATAACAAAGTCGCTTTTCTTAAAAGCATAAAAATAGATTTTCATTGTTCAGTGAAATCGGAAGTGTGCAGTGTGTAAAACGATGAATGTGTTTGTGTTTTAGACCCTCAGAGTGATGGGAAAATGTCAGATGACATCTCGGGATCGCACACCGATTGGCTGACGCTGAATATTGGTGGGCGGCTTTTTACAACCACTAGGTAAACATTTGCTGTCTTATTGGTTTAAAATCCAAGTATCAAGTTCTAATCTTTTATTATAACTATTCTTAATAGATATTTTTATAAATGGAAAATTTAAGAGAGAGGAAATAAAGCAAGAGGCACGAAAGGCTGTGATTTGAAAGTGGTTAAGGTGTTTTTAGGCAAGAAAGAAACCGTCGTAACCATAGTCAAATTTGCAAAATCGGCGACAACAATATGCCAATTAAAAAAAAAAAATTATATATATATATATATTGAGCATAATAATAAAGAATTCTAACATTAATAACATATGCAGTCACAGGTGTGCATATGTCACCTTTTTTACGGCAGATAAATATGAATATGGCTCATCCAAAAAAATGTTAAAGTGCAAACCCTATATCTTTAAAATACATAAAGTACAGTCTTGTTGTCTGCAGCAATTGTTGTTAGCTAAAAGTAAAACTATAAAAAAAAAAACTGTTAATTGAAATAAAGATGAAATAAAATAAAATATAAATATTAGATGATTCAGACTTAAACACTTAACAAATAAACAAATTAATTCATAAAACAAAACTGCAAATAAATAAGTTTAAGTACTAAAATAAATTGAAATAAAAAATTTAAATACTAAATAAAAAAATAAAAGCTAATTCAAAATATGAATACTAAAATAACACTAGTCTGCAGATGCTTAGGGGTGTGTCCTTGAGATGTCATTAATGAAGTCTGGTCTCCCTGTTTCCTCTTGTTTAAGGAGTACTCTTGTGAGTAAGGAGCCTGACAGCATGCTGGCACACATGTTTAGAGAGAAGGGTAAGATATAGTTCATGTTCACTCACTGACTGATTTAGGCATTGTTTGTTGTGCTAGTTCAGCAGGTTGTGAATCAGTGTGTAGCACAGTTCTATCAGAGTTCTTTCTTGATCTGCAGATGTATGGGGTAATAAGCAGGATGAACGAGGGGCTTACCTCATTGATCGCAGCCCAGAGTACTTTGAGCCCATCCTGAATTACCTGAGGCACGGCCAGATCATTGTCAATGAAGGAATAAACTTACTCGGTGAGTGACATCTGAATGTTACTGAAGGCGTTCTCGGATGATAGCTCCCATCTAGTTTATTAGATATACATTAGATATTAAAGTTAGTATGTTAGATATGCTGTACATTTGAGCCTGGGGTGTAGATTGATGCAGTAAGTTTAAACTTGGTAAATCACTGCAGTTCAAGGCACTTTTTTATGTGACAGCAATAGTAATATGATAAAAGGCACCTT